TGTCACAAGCAGGTCAGCAGCCCCCATTCCTGTCCTGCATGCAAAACCCAGAGCTGTATTCAAGGACAATTTCCAGCTTTCTCACCAGTGGCTGTGTCTTCTTCTGGTTTTTATTTACTGCTTCAAGGCAAATGCCACAGCCTTCTTAACTGCCTCTGATAGCCTTTCCTTGTCTCTTACCCACAGGATCAAGTGGGCTGCTAATCATGGTCTACTGCTAATTTCACAGGACGTCCTGAGGATCCTCTGCTATTGTGACTTGCACCGATCTTCCCCTTGTCCTTCCCGACATGAAGCTGGGTGCAGGCACAAGGTCATGGACAGGCTGTGCACCAGCATGGCTGCTCTGCTCACACATGACTCAGCACAGGCGTTGTACCATATGCCACAAGGGTCTATGAATCCTTAGGTAATCTCATCCCTGAGTATTACCTGCATTGACCTGAGCATGGAACCCAGTCTGCGATTTTCACAGGTCATCTCTACTAGGGGGTGGAACTATGGATAAAGACAAATCAAGTGCTTCTTTAACCTAACTGTGTTTATTTTAATGACCCATTTACTTAAAGCAAGAGCAACCACACCATACTAGCCTGCTGTTTTGCTACCAGTCCAAGGTTTTCTGCAGAAGCTGTTCAGGAACTACCTTCTTCGAAGGCTAACCACTATACAACCGTTCTTTTGGCTTATCATTCTAGCCATTCATTTGGGCCTATCCCAAAGTTACTTGTTTCTCTGAAGCTGAAGAGATACTCTACTGAAAGAATTTGTTGCCTCCCTTTCAAGCTTCTGTGAGTCACGAACAAGATAGATAGAAAGCTTTTAAATGCCCAGCCCTAAGAGAGTTCAGCCCCAAGACCTTTTCCTAACCCGATCCACAACCAGGTGACTGCCTTGTCTTATGGCCAGTGGCACTCTGCTTTCCTTCTCCTAGTGAAGCCTCTGCCAGGGGCTCATTTCCACCAGGAATTTTAGTCTACCTAAGATCTCCTACTCGTGTGTTCCACGAGAAAGCCCTTGAGCAACAGTGTCAGGATGCTGGGCACCTCCTGGGCCCACACTGACTTTCCAGAGCAGAGCCAGGCTTCCTTCCCTGGGCTGATATTTTTGCCCCTCAAAGATTTACTTGCTAGTCACCTTTGGGCTGTTCTCTTAGTAGGCTCTGTGAGAGTCTTCTGGCTTTTACATTTGGTCTCGTTTTAAATCCCTTCTGAATCTTTCTTACTCCTGCAAGCACTCTGATCATTTTTTCCCTTGCGATTTCACATAAACAAATGTTTACAGTTACTCTCTTTAGAAACAAAATCATCCACCTGACATCTCTTCTGTCCTTTTGGACAATATTTAGAGCTCCCACAGGTTGTTTCATTAGAGGAAAAAACCTAAAACAAACCCTAAGACAAACGTGAGGGTCATATATTACAGAAAGGCAGCTGGGACCCTGATTCCCTCAGTGTCAGGAATAGCCACTTGGTTTTATGTTTTGTCTCTCCTGATGTTTCTTTCACACATGAAAAGCATCCTCTTCCCTTAGTTGAGCAGCACAGAGTGTGCCAAGGTCCAAAGCATCAAGATACCGTTCTTATTCTCCAGCTGTTTCTGGTAATTTAAATACTTTCCCATCTCTCTGCAAAACCTCAGAAATCTTCATCCTGGATGTTTTGAATAGGGGAGGAGAAGGAATGAAGGGGAGAGGACGAGTGCCTTTCTGCTACCTGAATTTGGAAGGTGGCTCCCTTCAGGCTGGTTCTTACAAGGTGCAGCTGGTTCATGTAACTGCTAAAGATTAGTATAAACTTCATGCCTGGTTTACATCGTGTGAGTGCAACCTCCTCAAGTGCACAATGCAGGAACCTCGGAGAGCAGAGCTTTGAAAAATAGTTATAAATGACCCCATAAACGCAGTGGCACCAGGGTGAGATACAAGGGGTTACCCTGAAAAGAAACCTGCTGTTGCCAGGAGGGTTGAGCTACCCATTCCTGGGGATCTTCACTGCCATGTGGAACCACAGCAACATGCTCAAGCGTGCTGTAGTATTATTCCCTGAAGTATTTCCTCTAGGATTGATGCTTCAGTACCAGAAGATTCAACTCTCTGGAGCTGCTGTGACATTGAAAATACTTCCAGAAACAAGGATGCGCTGTTGCTTGAGGCTAATGGGAACATAAGGTGGAGTTGGCAGCAAAACAAAGACCCAGATTATCTTTCTTTCCCCAATTATTCTACAAGAATTTCTACATTTATTCTACATTTATTCTTTCCCCAAATATTCTACAATTTCCCCCTTACCAGTTGTTTATCTCAGCCTTCCAGTTACTGCTCTGTGACCTGTAAACCTCTTTATACGTGATCTGTTGCTATGCAGAACTCAAGGTACTTTTAGCCCAGAAGTTTTCAGGCATACCTGGAAAATACCCAAATGCATTTCCCAAGTGTAGCAAAAACAAGTTGTCACTTAAGAACATCCTCACTGTTAACTGTGATTAGTTATAGAATTTGCAAGCACAGTGCTAAATCCATTCTTTAAATGGGAAATTACATCCCAGTGCCAGATAGAGCTGACAGTTACAGAACATTCCAGAAACCATTACAATAACTGAGAATTTAAAGAGGATTAATTCACCTCCTGTACCTGCTGTGAGATTCAAATCAGCTTTTTTCTAAGGAGATATTTCTTAAAACGCAGGAATTTTTTTATTGCATCATTTTTCATACCAAACAGCCCTGATTAACAAATAATAATGGCACACAGGTATGTAACAGCTTTCCAAGGTATGGCTCTTAATCCAGCCCTTCAGCTGTGGGGTTATGACTGAATATGCCTGATGCTATTTTGTTCACATATTATCAAGTAAACATTTATAATACATTTGTGACAAAAGCCTTCCTAATGCTTGCTGGGTATAAAGGTGATTCCCAGTGGCTTGGCCAGAAGAGCATGGTGTGGGGCTTTATCCCAGACAGGTGCATGGGGTGGCAGTCTGCCCAAACCACCACATGGGGAACCAGATTTCCCAATCAGGTTCACACCTTGTCCAAGCCTAAAACCAGGAGCTGCTGACTGGCTGCAGTCTGTGTGGGGAGCCCTGGGATCTCTTGCAGGCAAGGCTCCAGGGCTCCACTATGGAAAATATTCTAGTGCAAAGGGCAGAGCCTGGCATTTTCCTTCATATTTGCCTATTCTACTATGGTTTCAGTAGAGAAGATAAGTTTTTCCTCTTCTAAGGGGAAAGTTAATTGTTTTTTAAGGGGACAGTTAAAATGGCTTCTCTAGACACACAAGTATGTGCCATATGAGAAAGTCCAGGTCATGCAGGTGATGGATACATGACATTCTTGTTTGACTTCGTGGCCTGTACAAGTGCCAAATAAACAAATTTAAGGTCTAATAACATACGTGTTATTGCAAAGCAATTTGGAATATATGAGTGAAAATAAATCTTGACAATGCCTGTACCTCAGCATTACCTAATCTCAACATAACGGAAAAAGCCTACCCAACTGAGTAGAAACGGTAACAAATGTAAATGCTCTTTAGCATCCTGCAGAGCCTAGTAGAAAAAAATACTAGTTCCTAAAAGAATGGATTAAATTGTTTTTCAAAGCATGTACTTCTTCACACATTAGGCTTCTCTAGATGCTACCTTAAAAGCTATCTGAAATGACTACAGGACCATAAAGGTTGTATTACTAAATGCTATAGGGCTTTTCCCCAAAGCATATCTGCATTACTCATCTGGCCTTCAGAATCTTATTATTTTAATATCTTTAAATGAATGGACTGTTCAGACAGACTCTTTGGAGTGAAATACTGGTTCTGCATATTTGAAAAGATTAAAGAAAACCCAAACCCTTAGAAAAAATCATGTATTCTGTAACTTAGTGCAGAAATCTATCACCTCATAGAAGCCACCCTCTTGATGCCCTTATCTTGTAAATGCTCTGAATTAAACCATCTGGCTCTACAGTCACACCAGAGATCAGAGAGAGAGAAAGTCTGTGTGTCTTTAGCGTCATGTCTAAGGCATATTTTATGTATACCCTTAAAATGTGCACCCTTTTGGGCACTGTCTTCATGTGAAAGACATGGAGGAGGGGGGATCTGTAGGTATAGCTGACCTTGACCAATCTCAGTTGAACCATCTCAGATTTGACACTGAAGGAACTCAGGATGTTAGTCAAAAGCATCTCTGTTGACAAGATACGGAATAACAGACAGAAGGTGGGAGACAGCAATTTGCCTAAGTTGGTACAAGTTCCTCATAGGAGGGATGAAGTCAGAGCTCTGGGCAGCTTTCCCCTTCCTTTGCACAGAACGTGGCTAAAGGAACATCTTGCTGATGAAACTGTAAAATCTATTAAGTGGGGTTTCCAGGGCCCTGCCTCAGCTGACAACTAATTTGTTTTGCCTTTGCCTAGCAGGGATTTTCCATGCAGTGGGCTCTTGTTTGCTATGTAAGTCATCCGAGTATTTGTTAGTGTCAAAGCCAGAGCCAGATGATGTTTATTCTGTTAACATCCAGTTGGACTCCGGCAGCGCTCATTGAGGTCAGGGCTTTATTTATAGAAGCAGATATACATTGAGATTCATTCTCTTTCCCTTGCTGTAATCCACCTAAACTCATCCAAAGTAGAAGGAAACATGCAGACATGCAAGTAGTATACTAATTGGGCCAGATCCATGAATTAGCACAGCACCATAGAAGCCAATGGAGAAAAGGCATTTTAAAGCAGCTGAGCATCTTGTCTATTATTTCTTCTGGGGAAGGGAAGGGAGGGGTTTAAAAACAGAGATTATAAAGAAAAAAGCAGAAACAACCAAGCAACAAAACGTCCCGGCATGTGGCAGAACAGGTCTGTAGTGCAAAATCCCTTCACCAAGATCTGCAATTTCAACTACTTGTCTTTTTCTCCTGTGTTCCCAATCACCGGAGACTGCAAGAAGCAAAGTGCAGAGAGCTCTAAGCAAGAAAAAGTAACAAGACTTAAAGCAATTTACCTGCTGAAACTGAGAAGACATTGTCAACGTACGCAGTCTGAGATAAAGCAAAGCAGAAGACAAGCTGCAGGTAAGATCCCCAGACAAGCGGGCTGAGGACCAACATGCTGGCTGTGCCCTGGCAGCTTCCACCTCAGAGGCGCAGGGCTGCCTTGGGGATCTCTCTGTCTCTACCCTCGCTCCCTCTCTGCCTTGCCTGCTCTCTGCCTCTTCCCTCGCTGTGGGATGCGTGTGTGTCTGTGTGTGTACGTCTCCCTCTCTCCCCCCCCCTCCCCTTCCCGTGCCTTTAGGAAGAAAGAATGACAACCATTTCCCATTAAATCTTCTCCTTGCACTAGACACAGTTATATTTAACTCCTGTGCTGGATCAGTTGCCCCTATTGTGGACATTAGCTGCTAAAACTGGGGCATGGGGGATTCCAGTTTTGCTAACAGAAGCAAAAAGGCACTTTGGATAATAATAATGATGAACAGGAAAGGGAGAAATTATGAACGGGGCTATAAACAGCGGTGCAGGCAACCAGACACCGATATCGAGATGGATAAACCCCCTGACCGATCATCTTGTACAGGTCACTAATTGCCTTAATGAGAGAGATGAGCAGTGACCTAACATCTGCTTGTCACTGGTAGTTACAAGCGTTACATTCATTTACAGAGTGCAGCGCAGGCTGGGGGATGCCACGAAGGCTTCACAAAGTACAGAACAGATTATTATTTAGTACTTAAGTGAAAACAACAGTATCATCACTGACAGTGCCAGTCATTGTAGGACGTAAGGATTTACTGACAGGGTGCAACAGGTGGAAGGAACAATACATGTGTCATGATGGGGTGAGCAGAACGCTATCAGCTCCCAAGGTGGTGATGGTCAACACTCTATACAGCACTGCAGGAAGAAAACAAACCTCTGTCACTCTGAAAAACAACATATGCCTTTGTTACCTGTACAAGAGCTTGGTGTTTCTGTGCCTCACTTGCAGCTCCCAAGGGCTTTGCAAATGAATTTCTGTCCTGTGAATAACTAGCAGAGGGATCTTCCTTCTGCCTGGAATCTGACTGTGGTTTCCATGAAAAGCAGAGGCAATCGTTTGCTGTCAAAATGGTCATTACTCCCTTTCTTCCAGATGGAGATGGTTTTCTTTGCCCACTGTTTATTGCTCCTCCCAAGACAAACACGGAAATCTTTTGGATTAATTACAGAATTGATGGGGCTTTTTTCATATGAGTAAGGTACTCATTGACAATGGGCTGTTCCACTGGGCGTTAATTCCTACTGAGTACACCACTAAAGGGCAAAGTGATGTATTTCCACAACTCTAGTTAAACACTCTTGACTGTTACATATTGCAAACATATTGACAAAATCTTTCTAAATGTAATGGTTTGACAGGAGCAATCACATCTGCCTTATATATTTCTGTCCTTAAAGGACATAATATAACCACAATGTTTTCTAAAATCTATTTCCAGTACTGCAACACTTTGGATAACTGAATTTATTTTTTAATCTAATTCACTTTCTTCCACTGTCTGTTACTTTTTAATAGTTGGTTATTTTTGGTGAAGACAGTAGTTTGACTTCTTCCTGCTTAGGCCAAGATGACCATGGATCAAGGAAGTGCCATTAGCATGCCATTTAGGCATGCTGCATCTCAGAGGGAAAGGCATAGCTCCTGCAAAGTTTATCATGACAAACCCTAAGAAAGCCTGCGTAGATGCTGGAAGAAATTGCTCAAAAGTTAGAATGTCAAAATTTGATCAAAAGCTCACCTCTGAAAACATTTGACCGACTCAGTAGTTAGAGCAGCGATTGAGTAACTTCAGTTCCTCCTGAAGTCTTCCTGCAGTCTTTTAGCAGTAGAAAATTTGGTAGAAATTTGTAGTGTAAAATATGTTCTATCTGATAGGGAAATTAATTAATACAATAATACTGCAAAGAACTAAGATCATGCAGTAGGAGCCATATCTTTCCCCTCCTCCATCACCTCCTTACCAATGTCAGTTCTTGGTTCTTCAGCCTAGACCAGAAACATAGGGTTTGGAAAAAATGCAACATCTCCCTCAAAGAATGTTGCAAGGAATTCTATCATAAACCACATCCACCCTCTGATCTGCTTTAAAGAAGATAGGAACAAGGAATGTAGCTTTTCCTTGTAAGAAGGAATGCTGTATTAGAGGGGACCAGGAATGATGCAGGAAGCCAGGGCTGCTTCAGATTTGAAACAATGGCTTTGCACATAGATGGCTTTGCAGTCAATCCTTAGGTAAAATCTTTATCAGCTTTTTTTCAGTGGAGAACCATGACTAAAAATGAATGTTTTGTCAACATTCTCCTTTCTTTTGACACAGCATCTCCATCACTCCAAAATCTGGGCCTGTTTGAATTGAACTGGCTTTTAGCCAATGCAAGAAGAAAGCTCTGTAGGCAAATAGCCTGCTGTGGCAAACACCATCATCCATTAAAGACTCAAAAGGAGATGTTTGGATTTATGTTTGAAGAGACCTCTTCATCATGATGTAGTGGTAGTTCAACTCATTGCTTTTTATTGGGACCACCATTAGGTCAACACAAATGAGAGCTCTTACTCATTACAAGGCAGCGAGCCAGGCCACTTCAAGGTGCAAGTGCTGGGTTTTGTTTCCTCTCATTTTAAGGTACTGGCATTACCAGCTGACACTGCTGGCGAGGTTGCTAATGGTTTCCGCAGGAGATGAATGAAGTCTGTTGGAAATAAAATAGACAATAGCTGCAGGCTTTTTGCTTTTGACTTAGGTGACACCGCGCAAGACTGACACCCAATGCTAGATGACAGGGGTGTACACCTGGTTACACTGCTTGTTTCTGACCACTGTGGCACTGATGCATGTGCAGAGACAGTCCTGAGGAGGGGAAGTGTCACGTAGCCGTGCAAGTCTTACCTGATGTGAGAAATCTGACAGATGTGTGCTTTCCAGGCTCCTGAGCCATCTGTCATCTGTGAGCTTGCTCAGTCAAGCAGTGCATTCTTACAGCTATTGCCATGGGATCATAAAACCAATGGAAAGCTTGTGCTCCCTTCAGATAGCTCTGCAGCAGGTAGCTAAGGTCAGTGCTGTGAGATTAGAGGTAAGTCCTTGCTTCTATTATCCAGAGCTGCTGCTGCTGGGTGCAGTGAAAACCCACATTAATATGACTTCACAGTGCAACCACTGAAGAAAATCCATAAATATTTGGGAATAAAAATATTTTAAATCTTTGGGGGAATAAATAAATAAAAAATCTTAACATTTTTATACAAATTTATGCCATTGCTAGAAACAGAAGTAATCTATAATTCTTATTCTTGTCTCACCTAGAATTGTGACTCTGATACTAGGAGTAGCATTCATTGAATGAAACTATAACAGCTTTAGCTTACTTCTGTTTCAGGTAGCATTAGCTTAAGAAAGAAACACAGGAAAGATTTCACACTGCAGTTTCTGAGTCTTATAAGGCACCCTAATGGCCTGAGTGAGAACAAGAGGCTTTGAGGACTTAAATTTAAAAACCTTCCACTGTTCTACAGTGAGAACCCCAGAACACCAAACGTTATCTGCAGTTTAGTGTTCAAAGGTAAGGACCCCCACAGTCTTATTGCAGCAAATCAAGTGCAGTTTAAAAGAATCCTCTTTCAAGTAGAAACTAAAAATGCCAAAAGCCAACCAAACCATGATGGAGAAAAGAAGTCCACACATTTTACCTGCTTAAGTAACTGTTGCTTGAGCTTTTCACCTCAGATGGTGTTATCTGAAGTACAAAGGCAGCTGCTGGTGTAAAGAGGACATTAAGTGCAGAATACCAGCAAATGGCTTCACCATGCTGGTGTATTTAAATCTAATTCAGAAGCCCCTATAGGAGCAGACCCACTAACTGTGTGCGATGAAGTAAATTCAACCACATGATGAAGTTCTGGCTCACTCCACAGATCCACCCATGCCAGTCACCCAGCTGGATATCAGGCACAGGGCAGGTGGCCAGTTAAAGGCAAGCCAGAGCTAGTAAATCTTCAGATTATGCACTGGATGAACAGGGTGAAAGCAGGACATTGTTGTCTAGGAACTTCCAAAAGCAACCCCTTTTTGGAAATCAGCAGCTTAATGGATGCTACACACTGCATAACGAGTGGTGGGCGTCCAGCCTCCTCTTCTCTCTATAACCCATGTTCACAGAAATGCAAAGCTGGCCAGGGAATCCAAATCATTTTTACACTTTTCAAAGTATTTTTACATATTTGTTTGTTTCCAGAGCTCTCACCTCATTTTGAGAAAGTTCAGCTCAAAACTCTAATTTTGCACTTTAGACCTATTGCAAAGACTCAGTCCTTCACTTTTTCTCCTCCGATGAGTAATCCCCATGTATCATTTATTTTTCTATTGATAATAATGGAACAAACTACCAAACAGAAAAGTTATGGACGTAATTAAAAATAATGGGATAATGCAAAGTGACTTCCATCAGAGCTATCAAAACCCCACTGTGGCCTTGTAATGGTGGAAGACACAACAAAGTAGAACAACTTTAAAACAATAATTCAATCCCAGATCTTTATAAGATTACTCTGACTCCCCTTTCCTGTTTCAGCTGCATTCTAGACCCTGCCTTTTAAACTGCAAATCACTGTGGGATTGTATAGAATTTTGCATAATGGCAGCGCTACCTTTCACAGCTGAAATACATCCATATACATAATATGGTAGACATGCAGAACACCTCTGCTTCCCTACAGTGCATGCACGTGCTGTAAAAATCCATACAAGAATTCCCTGGACTTGCTGAATGTGTTGATCAAATAAGCAAAAAGTTTGATGGCTGCTTACAATGTTCAGGTATGTGGTGTACACAGAGTAAGCCAAACACATTCCTATTGTGCTGTATCTACCGTGCAGGAGCAGACCACCATGCTGAATGCATGATGCTTCTTGGATGAGATGCAATCATCACACATGATCACAAGCCTGCACAGAATCAAGAGATGTGTCCAGCATTGCCAGGTATTTGGAAATCCTGGATAAACATAAAAAATCCCAGAATTAGTCATAGAAAAATGTTCTACTGGAAAAGGAAGGTGCTCGTAGAAATCCACATGTACAATGGCCTTGACAATGGGAGTCCTGGCCAGCTGAGTTCTACATTTACTAGTAGGTAAATAGCTTTTAACATCCTAGGATGGTGAATCACAAAAAAAGTCACAACTATCACCCAGACTGTTCTTGATATTCCTATTTAGAGGAGGTGGAAATAGGCCTCAGAGTAATTCTTCCATCTTGTTTTCATTTGGATTGTTCAGTGCTGCAATTTATTTCTATTAGTAAAAGCCTGCAGAACTCGCTGCCCATACTGGTATCACTGCAGTGCTGCTGGAGACACAGAACAGAGGAATATCTGGCAGTAGCTGGCTCTCAAGACTCCTAATTTATGTGATTTATCACCTAGCTTGCCAAACAGCCCAATCAATTGAACACCACAAGGCACAATCTCCTTTTTTTCTCTGTTAACATTCTTACAGGAGAACAAATACTACTGTTGCAATGCTCACGCTAGTCTCAGGACTTTTCATTCCAGAGAGCTTTATGAATGCTGGCAATGCAGCATCCTATTCCCAGTATTCATAGTGTATTCTGAAGCATAATGAAGCTGCTCCTGAAATGAAGCATGTGTATAGGTGCCTTGCCAAACAAGGCCTTGAAAAAGCTTCGGATACTTTGTTTTTAGCATAGAAGGATGCCTCCTTTTCCTGCAGCTGGTTTTCCTCTCATGAGTACCTCTGGGAACTAAATGTTTATGGATCCCGTGCCTTGCAGAATGCAAAACCAGGCACAGAGCTGCTGAGCTCAACTGGGGAGCAGTAGTAGAAGACAACACTCATGTGCTTACCCAAAGGCATGATGAAACATCAACATTATGAAGCTGAGGATGACTAAAGAAATAGGTCACAGTAGAACAAGATGAAGTAGCAGTGTGTTGCCAAATTTGCTTGCTTGTTTTTCTAATTTCAGCAAATGGATGGCTACAAGTGCTGACTATGAAGTTACAGCAAGCAGAACTCAGTAAGACTTCTCCAACACCATAGCTGTTGGGCAGCCCACATGTGTTTTAAAACTGCCATAGTGTAAGCTGATGGCAAATTTCATGCTGATCTCCAGGGATGCTGGGTCTTACTGTAGCACTGCACACTGCCCAGTCATTCTGGGATGCCAGGGTTGTCATCTTCCAAACACAGGCTAACAGCTGAACCTAATCTAACTGGACAAATGCATTTTCCCAATTTCCTTTGCAAAATCAGGGAGCTGCAATTAAGACTGCATTAGCGTTTCCTACTTTTGAAGCTTCAATCATCTGTATTTAAGACATCCTTACCAAGCAGCAATTTGGCACACAGGGAGGAAAACTTGGAGAAAAAAACAGCTCTCACTGCTGAGTTTTAGTGTAAAGGTCTCACTGATTTCACCTACACAGAAAGAGGCCCAGCATTAGCTGCTTGCCTCTGGTAGCTTAAAACCAATGGTAGGGCTGAAAGATTAATTTTTCCTAACATATTTTCTGAGCACTTGAAAGGCATCCCTGTTTGCAGAGCAAGCAGAAGTTTTACGGCCTGGCTAATGAGGTTTTACACATCTAAATCCCAGCAGCTGTGCCTCCTTGCTGCAAGACTGATGCACTGCTTTGGCTGGAACTTCAGGTATACCTTCAAGTCCACCAGTACTGTCTCCAAGGCGAAGGTCTATAAAATGACACGTGCACAGTATCTTAATGACAGTGACAAGGAGACAGATGACAAGTTCTTCAAGCGCTTCCAGAAAGTGCCAACTTCTTTTTTGCTATACACTTTTTATGTGCTGATTTCATTAGAGAGAGGCTCGGATCCAGACACTGTGGAGCTCAAGCTTGGATGAGTGCCTGAGGATATGTTGTCACCACTGCAGCTCCAAGGTGGTGCAGAAGTAGGCAAAGCCACTGTAGCCATCATAAGGAGAGAAGGGCCTCTCTGCCCAATCTGGTTGGAGTTTCATGCTGCAACAGCTACAGGTAGTCACTGTCCAAAATTCGTGCCTAGGAATAGTGATTGCTTTCTGGAAACAAAAGCCACAAAACGCTTAGTGTAGATTTAAGGTGTAAAAAGGCTTATATGGTCTTTCACTATCTTCCTCATATGGTAGCATTACCAAGTCCTAGAGGAAATCTCCCACCAGCTATGTGCAAAGATATCCTACAGTGCTGATATTCATGTGTCTGTTGTCATCTACATGACCTAGCTTGGCTGCTGACATATTGCTTCAAGTCCAAAATCCAGCAATTCAAATCCTGTCTCCAAAAGCATCTCTTTTCCACATCCCATTTAGAATTTGACACAGGGTATTACACAACTAATTGCTAGTTGGATTGCTCAGATGTCCTGTAGCTGCCAAAAAGAACTCTGGCTTAAACTATTCTATACAATATTTTCAGTAGTGTGCTTCTGTATCTCTATCACCCCCTCGAAAAGATTGATGAAAACAAAAGATTTCTAAGAATACTGACCCAAGCAAGCAAACTGTCATTCTATTAATTCTCCTATTTCTGCACTATTTCAGTCAGCCTAAAGATTCCTGGAAAGAACAGACACTGAACTAATTCTCATTTATATTAGTGTGACATAATTAGCTGGAAGGGCCTGCTTTACTGAGGGCCTTTTTAAACCTTCTCCATCTGGTTTCAATTAAATCATCCAAAGAAACAGCAAATGGCTCCTCCGAAATAGCTATTTCTTACTCATTACAATACTCAGTTTTAAGTAAATAAATAGGCAGAGGTTACACTGCCTGTATATCATAAAGACAATAAGCTCTGCTACCTGGTCTGACCTCAGAACACCACTAAACCCTCAGAACACCTCTCTTTTCTCTACTAAGCACAGCCATCAAGCTCTTTAAATAGCATAAAAAGAGCTGCAATGGGGATTTTGATTCCAATATATAGGAACTACATCAGGAATGAAGTGTCATTTACATTTCTTAATAGGACTTTTACTATAGTTTATAGACAGTATGTGCTAGTTTCTTGGGTACTGAGTGGCAGGCCTGAAGATGTATTGCAATTTTAGTGTACTTGGGATTTTGCATGCATGCTTAAAAACCAACCTAGCCAGACCAAGTATACATCTCACTCCTCAAAGTGGATATATGCTATATGGCATAATAATCAGAGTCAAGCATACACAACATATACCCAAATGTTCATAGGGCAAACAGTCTACAGAGTTCATTGCAAACTAAATGAGAACATTATTAAAAAGTTAGTAATTACAAACCAAACCTGTTAGCAAGCTGAGCACACCAAGAGTCTGAGAACACACACTCAACACTTGCGAGGGGCTGAGACAGTAACAAACCTTACTTCTCATTCTTTAATTTCTGGCCCCTGTGTTGTTGCTGTTGACAGTTTCACCTGTAGTCCCACAGGTGAATTACCTGCTGGGTTTTGGGCATCTCTGTAATGCTTTTCCTGTAACCAATTGTTGGTCCCAGGTAAGTCTCAGTATTTACACTCTGTACTTCTCCCACAGCAGATTCCCTCAGCTGAGGCCCCATCATTTTCTTCCTCTTGAATTTGACCTCTTGAGTCTGTTTAATACTTTAAATTCCATGCTCTGGCCTTGAAGAAAAATTTCCAGCAGCTGGAGCCACATACATCTTTTCCCAGACTTACGGCATCTGTAATATTTTGCTCCTTTTAATCAAATTAGGACAATTCAGAGATACTTTGTTTCTCTTTCATCTCCAAAATGGTTTTCTTTCATATAGTTTCATCTACCCAACACTGCAGTGTTAATTCTTTTCTTTTTGGATTTCATTATGTTATCACCTTCCCTCATCACCTTGAAAGTTTCAAAATCTTTGCCTTCCGTTTTCTAGGCATCTTGACTTGAAATGAATTGTGCATGTTACTGTGGTTATTCAACAACTTTCCTAAACATCCAATGGAAGCTGATTTCCAAAAGCTGACATAAAACACTGATATAATTTAAATACTCTGACTAAAGGCAAAAACATACGAAAATCACTTTTTATTAATTTTCAAATATAAGACAAGAATTTCTGCATTTGTGCATCCAATGCACATGATCTCCCCTGTGGTCAGTTCCAGCATTAACTCTTGCAGATATTTTACATCATCATAATGGATTGTGTTTAATCACTGCAACATTAAAATCAACTTCTGAGAGTTAAAAAGAATGAAACAAAACTGGTGACAAGATGCAATGTTCTACATTCCTTGCAGAGTACTCCAGGAAACACAGCAACTCTGCTGTCTCAGCAGCCGTACACTTGTTCATGAGTTGTACTCATTCTGCAGAGTTTATCTTTTTGCACTTGTTAGCAGCCCTCTAAGGATATTGCCTTGTCTTGACTCAAGCAGTTAATGCCACATAGCTCTTCCCACAGCCATAACAAGCAGTGGTACCTCCAAATCAGACTCTGGTACTCTTGCTCAGGTGTGATGCTCTCTTTCTGCAAAAGCATGCAGAGATAGTCCTCTGTCTAAGAGTAACCCATGGCCTTGTGCCAGACCCAGACTGAAGTCCAAGCACGAATAAGCTAAGCTTTTTGCAACAAACCTAACTGTAGGCCTGGCAGCAGATACTGCACAAGTGCCTTTAACTAGTTACCCGGCACTTAAAGTCAATGGAAAAATAGACAATAAAACAATCGAAACCCATGTCAGAGCCAGATTTTTCCTTTTTACATATATAACAACAAAGAACCTCTTGACACAAAGCAACCTGTTTAGTTCTACATTGAGTAGTGTAAGATTGTATCATCAGTGTTCCTGTACAATCTGCTAGAAAGCCCGGTATAGATTCATTCGTGTCTTTCATTTTACAATTATTTCTTTTTATCATTTAAAGAGTGCTCTAATAGCAGTTCCAGAATCCCATTTTGTTCCAATGCTTATGTAAAATGGAGCTGTACCAGTTCTGCTTCTGGAAACTGATTTAGCTTTGCTTCACACACTGCCTTGCACCACCATCATCTTCTGCTACAGGTTAGAACGAGTCAGCCAGGGAAACTCCTGGAAGAGAAAAAACATATCAGAATGGACAAGCAGTAGGAGGAGCAGGACAGAAATATGTATTGACTACCCAATGGAATTCCCAGCAAGTAAAGACTGCTCAAAAACTTTTTGGTCTCATGTTGTCAGGTATGAAAAGAAAGAACCACAAATTATAGAAACAGTAATAAAAGACATTACACTTTTTCTGTGGTTTAAGTGACACCACCTGAGGATCTCAGAGGCTTGCCTACATGGAGTCTGCAGAAAAAGAAAGGAGAATATATACATACCTGTTTCTTTCTGTCAGACTGTGGATCAATCATTACATTTATAAGAGAAGGTGTTTGCTTGTCAGACAGGCTGGCTTTCAGAGCATTCTGCAATTCTTCTGGCGTTTTAACAAAGTATCCTTTACCTCCAAAGGCAGACATAATTTCCTCATAGTGTGAATTTGGCAGGAGAGACACAGGAGGCACACTGTAACAAAATGGAAAGCATCTGATTAATGGCAGGGAAGAACTGCCAGACACCAATTTAATTACTTCACCCTTTAAATGTGATAAGATCATCTGGCCTGATGAACTAAGTGGAAGAACTAAGTTTCCTATACCATTAATACTATGTTTATAAGGTAGCATACTAATTTTCACCTTCTGGAGACATTCCTGAGCGAAGCTTTAGCCTAGTTCTCTTGTCATGAGTTCTCAGCTCCACAAGCAGAAGCCCCATGTAACCTCAGAGTACAAGTCTCAGGTAATTCTGGATATTATCATGTTTTTGGAGGTTAGCCTGATATGTGTGGCCTGAACTGCTGCAGAATCCTGAGACAACTAATAGAGACACATCTCTCTGCTGCACAGTTGTGTAAATTCAGTTGGTTGCTTACCTTTAATAACTGGTTCTTACTTACAGGAACTTAGCCTAGAACTAAATTAACTTCATGAAAAGTTTTAATCCAGATCACAAAGCATTAAAAGTGAGGAGAATGACCATTTTGGCCACCTCTTCCTTAATTAACAGGACATACTTTGAAGATGCTCACCATGTAGCAGGATCTCCAAACTTTAACATCTCCTTCCAGGCATCTGCACCCAAACCAGTGTAAATCCCATTGTTGTTTATGATGATAATCAGGATTGGCAAGTTGTACCTACAAACATTTGGAAGAATTCTGAAATACAGGCACCCTTCTGTAAGGTACTGAAAGTTTACTAAAAGTGTTACTTTTCCCTAAAAGGAAAATAAATAGTTTAAAAAACCCCACTTCCTCCAGAAATGTGATCTACCCATCACTGGTGATAACACATTAAGTCAAAACAATATTAACACAACCATGTATATTTTTTGGCCTGTTTTCATGTGCTGTTATGAGTACCCCATCTAAGACCAGTGTTCTTGGCTGCCTAGTTAAACTGACCCTGGCAATATATGAAGAGGGTCTTGAGCAAAAACCAATTACCTGCAAATAGTCTCCACCTCCATCCCAGAAAATCCAAAAGCACTATCTCCTTCTATGCAGATGACTCGTTTTTCAGGTGTTCGGTCTTTAGCTACCATTGCAGCTGCTATAGCAAAACCCAGTCCAACTCCCATTGTTCCAAAAGTACCTGCATCAAGCCTAAAGAGGACAATACAGAATTACTATCCCTTCATTTCTGCTCAAGCTTTTAAGTTAATCTATAGTAACTTGTCTTTACTTCTAATTATCTTCCATACAGTATTCAAATACTGCTTCATAAACAATTGGTATAAAGAGATACTAGATGTATAGCTTATTATATTCAGACAAACATTTTATAAGACTGCAAATATTTTAAGGGATATAAACATCCTGGAACTCAAAATTAAGAGCTCTCATACACCAGTTGTACTACAGTAATGAACTATTCTTGCATGCTTTTAGCTTGCATAGTAACAATATTTCAAAAACCATTCAATTACTGTAGAGATAGGCAGACTACATGAAATCTTTCCATGTTTAGTTCCTCAAAGCAATTGGTTAAATACTGCTGCTCTAATTTTAGTCTTCTGTTCAACTTTTGAAATCAAATTTAAAGCTGTAATTAAGTTAGATCATTTCAGTCAGAAGCACATAATGGACACAAAAGTACATAAGGAACTAGATTATTCTGGAGTTAACTTTACAAATTCGCTTTCAGATATGTGCAATGCAACCTGAAAAGACAACCATTAACCTTACTGTGCCTTTATTTTAAATAAGGGGTGGGGGAAATGCAAACTATTCCCCCAGCTTTACTGGAAGCATGGGTTTTTTTTTGGTTGGCTGGTTGTTTTCCTGTTCACAAAGAAGTATTTAGGTTCATTTAGGACTTTAGACTACTTTCACGAGAAGGCACAAACTTCACAGTCAGACCAGCAATTTCACCTCACCAGACAGAGCTCACTTTTCACCCCTATTCAAGAAATGGCATTTAATTCCATCTTACATTAAAACTAGACTAGACATAACGACATACCAACACACAAATTCGAGTGCCTATATTTTAGGTATGCAGGTTTACATGAAAGTGTGTCCAATATACAATCCAATTTTCAAAATTAGTTGATTCTTTTTAAATTTTCTCTGGTTTTAAGTGTGTTTCAAAGAAAACCTCTTTGTATGAATTCTTTTCAACTTGAGAACCTAACAACTGCTTTTATTTTAAATCAAAATTTACCAGACTCTGAGCACAGAAGTCAATATCTAGATCAGGGAGTTTAACATGATGCTCTTTACTCACTTTCCACAAAAGAATGATAAACTATCCACTGCAGAGCACATAGAAAAGTCACAGAAAATTATTAAAATCTATGACAGGACATCAGAAAATGAGTGGAAAACTTCCCTTAACCCCTCTCCCAGCATACTAGACTTGGTTTTTCCCCCCTCCCCCATTTAGAACCTTTAAAAAGGACCAAAAGAAATCTGGACCATCATACTCCTCACTTAAATGTTAACATTTATACATAGATCTATCCTGTTGCCAGAACAACAAAGAAAATACTGCACCTTTGACGGGGATGGTAATTTGGAAGCATAGTTCGTCCAATGTCCATGGTGTTTGCTCCCTCACTTACTAAGATGCAGTCTTTGGGTATCAGTTCTCTGATGTGGTGGAAGACTGTGTAATAATTCATAGGCAGAGATTTCTGTAATGCTAATCCCTTAAAAAATAAGAGACATTAGGAACTCCTATGGGTAGACTTTACAGTATGGTGCAGAACTGAGACATGTAAATAATAACGATAGAAATAAAACTGCATCCTGCTAGGTAAGGCTGGAGTATTTGGTTTTCCATGTACTATATCAAGATCACTCCTTCTGTTCCTATGCTGGTGACACAACGTATGGATGCCCTCTCATTAACAGGAAGCTATTAAAACTCAATTTAACCCTAGACTCATATTAAATTTTTCTGCACATATGTTTGACTACTGATAACCCTAAGTGAGCTGTCACCTGTGTGCTGGGAAGTAGTTCAAAAGAGTGATCTGCTAGAATTTTAGATCCCAATCTCAGAAACATGCATCTGTACTTGCAGAATATGAGTTGCACAGAGTTAGGCATATGCCAGGCATCTGTGGTCTTTTGGCCTGAACAGCTACATGCTTTTAATGCAAATTATACTCCAACCAACTCTGCTAGCCAGCACAATTACAGAAGAAAATTAAGAATGTACCCTCATGTAAGCTAGCTTCCACTTGGAGGTACCTGGAGTATCTGTCCATTGCTCAGAAGTCACTGCCCATAATACAGCAGCTCTGGCTACGGTCTTCTGCTACTGGTTTTAAAAACCCAGCCCCAAAGTTCAGTGGCTTCCACACGGTTTGAATTTGTAAAAAACCCCTACAATACTTAACTTACAGTTAAGTATTAAGACTTAACTTACAGCTCATAAGCCTGACAAGAGTAAGCCTGTACCAGAATGGCATAAATTTTCGAAGCCTGGGTGACATGACTGTCAGAAGTAATTGAGAAGTTTGGACATAAATCAGTGACAAAACTGACTATGAACTGGTACCTGTTAAGGAAAGACACCCCTTTTATTTGACATTACCTTTGATCTTTCCTCATTGCTCAACATTTTCTCTCGTAGTCTCTTCCACCACTCTGAATTAGAAGGATATTTCAATGATCTTTTGGTGAATTCTTCCAACAGCTGGAACAACATTGAAATGTTGCAGAGATTTCTTTCAACACATTTCAAAGATAACAAACCGTTACGAGCATCAAGAATAACATTACCAAGAAAGATCCCAGCACAACCACAGTAACACTAATCAGAGTATTTTAACATTAAATATGTTGCCTGAAAAAATGGTTTTCCTTGAACAGTTTTCTTCTTTTTCTCTAGTAACTTTATATAAACGAGGGGAGATGGAGTTCAAAACAGGAGGACACCTGATATTACGTTACCTGTCCAGTCACGGCATTTATGTCACCTAATAAAGTTGCAGCTGGTCTCACATTATTTCCCAGCTCTTCTGAACAAATATCAATCTGTATTTCAAAAAGAAAGGCTACCATTAACTCAAGGATAGTAAAGAGATTTTTTTTTTTCAGTTACAGTGAAAAACATGGTCTAACAACATCTTCACACTTGTTTTGGCTGTACAGATAAACCCTCTGTCTTTCATTGACATGACATAGGAAATCCTTTATTTAAAGGAAAATCCTGTGGTACATATCAATTTTAATAAAAGTTTATATATATATATATATATAATATATATATATACACTTAAAATTAACTACTTGCTTCTTACAAGCTCTTGCTGATGATTTAGAACATTATCACTAAAACCACCACCACCTTCCCCTTGACATTCTAATAATTATATGGAAACTACAAATCTAGGCTTAAGTATACCTTTATAAAGGCTATAGAAAGCAGTAATTTTCTTACTAAGTCTGTTGTGTGCTACCTGGCAATAAGAATTTGGATAGTACGAAGAAACTGAGAAGTAAATTATGACCACTGAAGCAACTTACCCATTTTCTTTATCAGTGATGTAGCAGGCCTCTTAGGTTACATGGAATACTAACTTATGATCAGGTCACACAGGCTATGAACTGAACCAGTATTTTAATACTAACCCCTGACAGTGAAAAGATATGCTTTAAGTGAGGTGAAATAATACTAAAAGCTTTCTTTTCCTTCTTTAGAAGAAGGAAACATAAAAAATGTATTATTTGATAAATCAAAAGGAACTGTAGCTTACAAAAAATACGTTATTCCTCTGCAAAAGATGCAAAGTTTGGAATCTGAGATTATGTTCCAGATGACTGAAGGCAGGCCATTCAGCACACTGAATCAACTACTATTCTTTGATCACTGACTCTAAGGGAGGAGATTTTGAGGACATAAACAATTTAATGACTTGTCTTTCTAACAGCTGGCAGATTGCCAAATACATTAATTAGTTAAATAGCCTTCCTTCCTCTTATTAACATTTCTGAGTGACTTAAGTCTTACAATGACTGACTCTGGATCTGAAAGTAATTCTATTTCAGAAAATCTGCCTGGGAGAGCGATCAAACAGTTTGAAAGATGTCACACTTTCAACACAATTTGCTTTCAATCACAGGAATTCCAGTGTTCCAAAGACCCGCAAATATTGTGAGTCTAATCCTGTATTAGCCAGCTACATGGAAACGCCTGCTCTCCTCATCACAGCAGCACCAAGTCCTTGGTAGCTGGAATAACACTGTAACCATTTTCAGAAAAAAGACAGGAAAGTAAAAGAAATAATGAAAGAAATCAGAAGTATTTTTGGACAACTACCATAACTATGGTGCACTGTTCTCACTGTCCATAGTGCACTTCATGTGGCAAGTAACGTCCTACCAAAATAGTTTACAGCAATTGCTCTAGGCAATGCAGGACGAGGAGGACTTTCTGCATGTGACAAACAATCATTTTCCTGCTCACCTGAATAACCTTTACATGTTTTTGAAACCTTGGTGGCAGACCAAAATGCAAAATCCAATTCAACCTTGCACCAAGCAAGATGATTACATCAGCATGCTGCAATGCCCTAGTAAAGGGAAAGAAGAGAATTAGATAAGGAGGAATTAGCATTAAATTTAATAATGTTTTCAAAATTAGAAGTAAACTTAACCACCACAGCAAACCTCAGAATATACCTATAATCCTTCCTTTCTCTAAGTTGCTTGCTTAGCCCCAAAAACCTGTATCCTTTTACACAGCCAATCATCCAGCCATTCTTGAGTTTAAGCCCTCAGAGAAGCTGTGGCTGCCCCATCCCTGGCAGTGCTCAAGGCCAGGTTATATGGGGTTTTGAACAACCTGGTCTAGTGAAAGGTGTCCCAGAGCCCACGGCATGGTGTTGGAACTAGATGATCTTTAAGACCCATTCCAACCCAAACCATTCTTCCAACCCAAACCATTCTATGATTCTCCTGATACACCATGTTTGGGAAAGGAATTGTTACAGTAGAAGACTTACAAGATGCTATAACTATGCTGAGGTTAAAGCAAAAGACTTACTACTCTGACACTGGCAACAGTGGACGCCAGAATTAAGATTACTGTGGACCTTTCATCTTGGACTCCTGTTAATTTATCTTTCATCTGGGCAGACAATATTTGGTATGTTCTTTTATTCTCCATTTTTCTTACAGCATGCTTAACAGTGGTAAAACTAAGATGCTCAACAACAGAAATATTGTTATCTCAAAGCATTTAAATGCTCCACCTGTAAGCTGACTATGCATATTCATACCTAATAGGGTTCTTATAGTCCATTCACATTACTTTTGCCAAAAGACAAAAATACCCCACCTCTTACAAATGACTTTAAACACAGTCCTTCAGTGTAGTTTGAAATACCTTATATTTCTTTTTAAATAATGTGGAATTTAGTCATGGTGTATTGCAAACACCATGCAGAGACAGCAGACAGCAAAACTTCAACTGCAATGTGTGCATCTTAAGCTCTTGTTTATGGTTTTAAAATAAAAAGCCGGCAGTGCACCAAGTTAAATGTTTAACATAACTGTTTGCCAGTTTTGTTTTATGTTATGAAATACGTACTAATGATGTTGATAAATCTACTTGTCATAGATTTCACAGTTACAGAATATTAGCTATCAGATAAAGTATTTTCTTGGCCAGCGCTCTTAGAGCATTGTCAAAAGCGATCCACCTAAATCTGTTGTTTCCTTCCAAGCAAGATCTTCAGTGCTTTAAAACCAGGTACAAAGTGTGGCTGAAAAATCTGTTGTATGCACTTTGTCTTCCCTGGCATCCGTAGATCACCACAATTCCTAGTTGATTCTTAGAAGTTAGGATTAGAAGCCTTGCTTTATATTTACGTTGATCTTGCTGCAGCTACACAATTTGGATGGTTATCAGGAACTACTCCTTTTGCCATTGGTGTAGGCAAAAAAGGCAGCCCACAAAGGTCCACCAACTTTCTGATGTTGCTTTCAGCATGTGAATAAGCAGCACCTAAATGAAATGAAAAAGACTGCTTAATACTACAGAAACCTACTGTATGCGCTTGAACGTCAATTAACCTGATCACATTAGTGGTAGAAAGAGCACTATTTCTCATTATGAAAGTTGCCTGTTTTTTCTCATTCTGGAGAATTCAAAACATAATATGCCAAATTACACATATTTGGGTTCAGATTTCCCATATTTATTTACAAAAGCCTTCTCCCTCCCTCCCCTACCTGCTAAGACTTTAGCTGCAGTATTCAGCTACTTCTGTAAGGCAGGGCAGGGAAAAATAGGATATTTTGTTTATCTAAAATGATAATTTTGAGTAGGTGAATTTGGTTATTATGGGGCCAAGACTTCTGCAGCAGCAACAGCTGACAGCCTTTGTGTTGTGTCATGCCATTTTTTGCTTGCCGCCTGCATGCTGCTGTACCACATGATCCGTAACAATCTGCCCAAACAGATTTATTAGAAGCCTTTAATGAAAAAAACAAAACCCCAGCTCAAAAGATGACCTTGTAAAGCTGTGTGCCTATACATACATTTACTGTGATGCTACCTTCAGTACATGGCTGCTGTATTAAGGGTGCCCAGGAAATGTAGAAATCTAGAGCACTGACTGGTGCTCATGCAATAACATAAGTCCGTAAGTCTTAAATCCTGAAGAAAAAACTTCTGTATTTCTTCATAAACTTCTGCTAACAACAATACGTAGCAGAAAGTCCAGAGGTATTTGTTAAGTAGATTCTCAGTTGCTGGCATCAACAAAACATGCATTTATGTGTTTGATACTCTTACCTTTCACTTTCAAAGAACACCCTCTTGTTCATGTGTATTCAGCCAGAGAGAGGGAGGAAAAAACCCTCCACCCTTTCCTGATCTACCTTCTGTCTACTATTTTGTTACCTAATCAATGAAAAGATCTAATTCATCTCAATCATTTGAGTCCCTGATTAAATGTAGAACCTCTCTCCAAGATATGGATCATACCAGCAACTGCAGGATAACAGCTTGGGTGAAATAAGTAGGTTATTTCAATTCAATTCAGTTCTTAAAAGTATTTGTTTGGAATTCTGGAAATGATGCTTTGGTACTGGCTCCAGTCTTAAGACAGTGGTTACCCACTTTTTTCTACTCAAACTTGTCAATTGATGAAATGCTTTTCCCTTATACTAGATGAAAAAGGCAACAGTTACACAACAGAACAAAAATACTCTAAAACCAGATCACATTTTAACATCAAATTTTGAAGAAGTTTATAGGTTTTTGGGTTTTGCTTCAGGTACTTTTTTTTTAATAGACATCACAAAGGATATGGCTAACACTCATGGGAAAAGAAGTCACTTTAGTTCTTATTCTTGTCCTGAACTTGTACGGTTCAAAGCAACATCAAAGCATGCTACCTTTTCCAATGATGAGCAGAGGCTGCTTGGAAAGAGCAATGATAGATGTTGCTCTGGATACAGCAGAGCTCTCAGCTGTGCTGATGGGAGGTGGCAGGCAGCATTCCACGTACCTGGAAGTCAAGCAAAACAAAAGAGGCTCTTAAAAAATTCAAAGCAAGAAATGTTGAAAGATAAAGCTGCAGTTGCTACACACCATGTTACTCTCAGCATTTATCAGAACACAATATATTTTGATTTAAACAGGCTTTTCTTGCATATTCCTTTCATCTCACAGGTAGTGTTGTTCCAGAGATTTACAAAGTGACATCATACTGTATTAACATCATATTACTTCATTCCTTTTTGCACATTTCATTACAAACTATAATCCAGTCACATTGTGATGGAATGTTTACATTCAGAGGCTGGATTTTCTTGTTTTAAGAAAATGCAAAAATAACTAAAGTTTATTCAGTGACTTGAAAAATAACGGATGTGATCTTTACGCACTTGACAGAGCTCTTGTTCACCTGAAGATTCACAAAATCTCCAGGTATGTCAATATAGCAGGAACCTGGACGACCATATATGCTGGTTCTTACAGCCTAGAAAACAGACAATCAGTGTTAACCACCACTTGAAAAGACATTGAGAATCTTCATGTGTAAAAACCAAGAAACCCCTTCTGCAGGCGAAGAAGGAACATGCTATTTCATACTGCTGAACCACCACAGGATTTTTTCCAATAAATTCAAGTTTTGATACATTTTCCCCTAAATGCAAACAGAAACCTTTCAGTAGATGGACAGTACTAGACTGCAAGTTCTTTGCCTAATTCACTCTTAGACAACTGCATTAGCTGCTGTGTTTGGAAATCCTAAATTAAACTTTCATGCTGCATTCTATTTAAAGTAGAACAAACACTGAAAAAAGACAACCAATGCCTCCATTTTCTATTACTTTGCATTCCAGTTCTTTTATTGCAGGTAGATGAACTGCTTAATTTGCACTTCTGGAAAACAGTAGCACTGTATGCAGAATTTAGGCTGACACGGCTAAAGAGTTGCTACAGCAATAGCAAGAGACTTTTGTAATCCCTTCTGAAGCACTAAAGTAAGGAAGTGTTCTCTCTCACTCCCTCAAAAAATCCCAATGAACCAGCACCAAACTCAAAACTCAAATATAACCATCTCCTCTGCCCACCCTCTAAATCTCCTTCACGTAATGAGAGTGGTAGAAGAGCTGAAGTTTGTATTGTTACATTTCTAGTTATTGGACCTCTCCCTAAAAGCTTTTTGTTTCATAAGAATGTTCCAACTCTGACTGAAGCTAACAAAAAACACTGCAGGTGTCAGTAAGCATCAGGCTAGACCAGAATCTGTTTCTAACCCATTCCATAGCATTGCTCACAGGAAAAGCCACTCTGCTTGTTAATTCACCCCATCACCTAACATCTGCTGGATAAAACTGTTTTTGCTAACAACTATATAAATAAACCCTCAAAGCTTATATAGCAGGAGACAGTTATTTAATGCTCTCTTGCTAATTTAGTATTTTTCATACCTTTTCAATAACAGCAGGAATAGCTTCTAGGCTGCTTGGGCGGACAGACAGCTTGTTGTACAGCCTACCAGCTTCAACCTGAATAAATGCACATAACTATTATACCAATTTAGCAAAGTGATTTGATTGTTTCCATCTCATTTCATCATGAATAAAATGGAAGAAATGCCAAATGGAAAGCAACAAGCTGAAAACCCCCATGAAGAAAAATGCAGATCCTCAGTTGATAGAAACTGTCAAAGCCATACTCATTCTCTTAAGTGCTTAAGTGTTTATTCTTTTTCCTCCTGGAAACTGGTGCTACTTTTCTTGGAGAGTTTACCGTCTTCCATCTCAGAACAAACAAAGGCAATTTATACCAACTGAGAATCTAAAACGGCTCACGAATTCTAACATGAGTATGGGAAAAGACATTCCAGGTCACCAGCTATATTTATACAATGTTAATTTTCAGCCAGTAGATGGAGCAAGTCAACAGCATTATAAAATCTGCTGGGAAATCTTAGCTTTTGGTGGTGTTATTCCCATGCTAATGAAGAAACAACATCAATTATTTAACTGCAACCTTTCTATAGAAAACTGTATGTCTGTGTACCTGAGGGAATTCTTGGAAAGCGCCCATGGTTTCCTGATTTCTGTCAGAAGAGCCTCCAATAACAATCAAAGGCCTAGAAAAGTGTATTCAAAACAAAACAAAACAAAACAACCTTAAAGCATACAGAATTTTTTAATAACTGCAATCACATCTCTAAACTCCTTATGGTCAAATCCTACTGCTCTTAGCATGGTATGCACCTTCAGCACCCACAGATCTCAACAGGCAGTGACCATCACTCTACAGGAGTAGATTCTAATCAGTGTGTCAGCTGGTAGACTTCCTAGCAGCTTTTGGGTCACTAGTTTTAGGACAATCTGGACATTTTAAGTGATCTGCATCTAGCATAAAGATTTGAAACTGAAGCCACGTTTCTAGCAATTTTAAGTTTGATAGCATGGGTGACAAAGTGGTTTGAGAGGAATGACAACAGCTAATCTAAAAAGCTGACAGGTACTGATTGATCTAAAAAGTATCAAAATGTTTAAGAGGCAATGTAACATGCACAAACACTAGAAATACAGTAGGAAACAATCTTTTCGGAAAGATTTTTTTTGTATATATATGCAATTTGTAGGACAGCAGAAGTCAGCAAACTATCCAACAGAATTTCTTCCTGCATTCAGTTTTTACTAAAAAACCCCAAAGAGATGAACAAAAAATGAACATGCCTATCAGCATTCCTGTTCTTTCTGAAATTAGTTCACGGCTATGTGAGAAAGGCAGCATTAATTTACAATACAGGTTATACATTCCACAGGAGCACGTTTTTATTATCACTTCCACAAAATAATTAATTTCCCTACAGTGAATAACTGGCCTTTTATTCAGTTTGTAGGTCAAATCTTCAAAGTGCTAAATGACGAGTCAATAGAAGAAAACTGTTTTATTAATTTGTTCATTCCTCCAAAATAAATAAAATATTGGATCAATAGCTTTCTAGGCTTTTTCTCCTAAAAAATTTATCTTCAAATACAGGCTTTCCTTTGACTGTGTTTATCTACGCAATGTATTAAGCTGAAACGTTTACAGTGAGCTCAATGCATAATCCTAAATTTAGTCATCCTAAAATTTGGGGATACCCGTGCCTAGAGCCAAGCTTCATAACCACGCCACTTCTCTGCTGCAAATAAAAAAAATCACAGTTCTAATCCCCGGACACTGTAAGATGAAAACTTCAGGCTTATTTCTGTGAAAAATCATTATGGAAAAATGCATTTGATATATGCTCTAGATATTTTATTCTGTTGATTCTCTCCTCCGAGCAAAATGCCTATCACTATCCATATATAACCAGCCTGTTCACAGTGACAAACCTTATGTTCCTTTCATTTACCTTTTTCAAATTTATTTAAATATGTTTTAAGAAGCAAAACAACTATTGCTTCCCAATACTGAAATATAATTAAGAAAATGCTTTACTCTTAAGAAAGTCAACTCCAGTAGCTGTATCTTGAAAAGATTTGGTTCTGCTTTTAAAGTTTACACAGTTATAACTAAAGTTCTTCCTCCAACGAAATCATTGTACTACTGTCACAATACTGAAGACACTTTAAAGAGCAGTGTTCATAAAATTAAATCAAACATAACAGTGAGGCAGGAAGAACATGAATTATAATAAAACTAGTAAGAATAGCAAGCCTTATGGACTTGCAGGAGAAGTAAACTGGAAAGAAAAAGAAAACAATCAGATGCAACTTCAGGTGAAGAGCATGGTATTTCACCATGCTACTGCATACAGAAAACTTAACTATTGCAAACTCTTCTTTGGAGTCTATTCTTATAGCCAAAGAAGATACTAAAACTTCTGCTCAGGATGAGGCAGGAGAGAAAGAGGCAGCACGGCACATAACTTTTAACATGAAATATCAAAAGGTTTTTTACCCTCAGAAAGGCAGTCTACCAAGGCCTCATTAGCTACCTAGGTAGTTAGATTTACATGTCCACTGTGACAAGCCTCCAGGACAAACCAAAGGCTCTTCGACTCAGCCTGGATGTGCTCAGGCAGTACAATCCAAAAAGCACAATTAGCATTACATTAAGCTATCAGACTTCTTGACTTTCTTACAGTTGGTAAGTTTCTTTCTCACGGATGAGAATGAAACAGAACAGGATCAGAAGAAAGGGACTCCAGGCTCAAGGAGAACAACTCAGAGAGAGCTTTAATGACTATCACTTAGTCTGAGTTATGTCAGAACAAGCAGAGTCAGATCAACTATTAGATTACTTCTGTAAGAAATGAACCAAACCTCAGCCATTGTAGCACATTAACAATGCCAGATGTAGTGTCATGGAATCACATGACACCTGGGAGATAGCTGTGAAGGCAAACCTCGCCTTACAAACTGGTCCACTCACACCACTCCTTCACGGGATGGCATAGAGCAACAGACTTAACACCTTGTTGCCAGAGAAAGAGGAAGATCTAATGCATAATGAACTGAATGTGGCTGTTGGGACAGACAAGTGCCAGAGCTGTCAAGAGGGCAAGCAGCAGCACATGGCTGGAAGAAAGGTGTTGCGATGATATGGGCCTATGTCTCTTTTTATGCAGACTGTGCAAGATTGGTGTAACCAAACTCCCTAGTGTGTACTGTTTTTTCACTTCCTTTGCTTGGCCTACTCCTGCTCTTCCCTTGCAACACTTCTCTGTAATTTCTGCCCAAGCTGCTGTCTAGTGAAACAAGCTAGAAAGCTGATTAGTTAACATAAAAATCCCATTTTTCTCTTCAAAGCATGGCACCCTTTCTTACAATGGTTTTGCAAGCCAAAAAGTAAATGTGAAAAAGCATGTTTGGGATTCTCAGCCACTCAATGGAGGTGCCTACTAATGAACGAGCCAAGAAAAAAGTTTCATTAGGCTAAACTTAGGGTCTGTGAATGCTCCTTTCATCACGAGGCAGGCAAAAAGCAAGCCTGATGTGACCAATGAAAATATCACTGGGCAAATACTCAGTTTGGCCACCGAAAGCCAGTTTCTTGCTATATTGTGAGATCTGTTGAACTAGGTAAGTTACTCCCTTCACCTTTTACCAGGAGTTATGCAATATCAAATCATGGGTCTGTTTACCTGACAAACAAGACCTGTTTACCTGTTCTTAGGCAAAAATAAGTGTGAGAAAACAGAAACAAACCCTGCAAATCCACAAGCAAGTGCTATGAATGCTTGCTTCTTACAACCAAATCCATGACTGCTCAAAAGCAAGGTTTTCAAATGACTTTTTTTATCTAAGGTCACATAGGGACAGCAAAACTTTAGCCAATAATTTGTTTTTTAAAAGCATTTGAATACTAGAGATCTTTTTCTTCCCAGAAATTTGATTTGTTACCATTCCATTATGAAACTTCCCTTGTCACTCAGCCACTGCTCATCTTATGCCCCTCATCAGGTGTGCCCAGTACTACCAGAGCTTCTACCCAAAATACCGCGTACAGCTTTCTGAGTTGCAAACCAGCTAAAACTGCTGTGCCTCAGTGAAAGCTTATGGGAGTAAATGCTATCACTCTGTACATCATTTAATTCAATATTTAATGACTGCTCTAAATGTCTGTGTAGACAGCAAATAAGGATTTTAACAATGCAATTGTCAATTTGTTCACATATGAAAGAGTAATTCAACAGGGATGTGTATTTAAATTTAGGAAAAAAAACCTTTAAAAGTCTTCATGACCAATAAAGCGCTACAGCCTGAATATCAACTTTATTTTCAAATGCATCCAAGCAATCAGATATACTAACAGATTTCCCAATATATGCACAAGGTAAGACAAAAGGAGAATTTATCCATGAGAATACAAAATGTTGAATTAAATGACTTCTAGGGATGATAAATCAGGATTTTGCTTCTCATTACCCACATGAAAGAAATAAGTCTTATACTAAATACTGTGGAGCTCAGCATCTGCAACAAATAGCAGCAAACAATTATTAGACTATTAAAGGGAAAACGTAGTTAAATTACCAGCAGTTCACGGTTGCGTTTGCCATCCCACCAACGGCATGTAAAAAACCTGGCCCAGACACTACAAGACATACTCCTGGTCTAGAGAAAAAAAAAACACAAACAAACAAACAAAAAAAGAAATAAAAATATTAATCATATCATCAACATGCATGAATTCAAGGGATTTGTATAAAGGACTAAAGACAGACACGGGAATCAAATCATTTAGTTATCAACCTAGTTGAAAGAGCAAGTGAACAGTTGTTATGTGCTACCCACACAGACATCTGCAACGTACACAGGCTTGTAACACAGCTCCTTACTTCTTTCATCACATTTATACGGAATTTATGGAACGCTTATGTTTTCAGATTTTTCAACTTCACTTCAGAGCTAGATATCAATAAAGAAAGCTCAGGAAGGAAGAAGTACTTCCAATCCAACACAAATTTTATCACAGTTTAACTCCAGGCAGAGGCACTTCATATTCTATAAAGTGATAAGAAATGCTCAGTAGTTAAGAATGACTTTTTTTCTTCAGTAGCTTTACAGACTTTATACATATCAGAAAAAATCCACACCCAAAACCCCCCAGCTTAATTCAAGAGGATTATTCCAAGGATGAAAAACTATAAAACTGTATGTAACAGGTGTCATGCTTGCAGATGGAATAAGGAATGGTCACCTGCATCATTGGGTGTGCGTTTGTGAGCAAGCAGACACCAGATGTTTACTTTAGAAAAGGATCCAATTGATACCCAAGAAGCACACCTCACAGGTCACAGAATGCTTCCCAAAGACCTTAAGAACAAAATGCAGTAAAAGAGAAAAACTCAGTACCTTGTTTGGGAGACTGTAAGCCATACGATCAGACTCTCTCTGTACTGATAAGGTATTTGTTTAACAATAAGCCCAGATGATGAGATTGAGGTATAGCAGGTCCACCAAGTTGCAAAAAGCAATGGTGGCATTTCTGCTGCTCATACCAATGGTGTTAAGCTACTCTTCAGATATTAAAAAGGGGGGGCGAGGAGGAAAGTTATAAAGTGGGCAGTATTATACGAGATTAAGCACCTCATTGCTTCTGCCCTGAATCAGAGCAACAGAAATATTGATAAGTCTTATTGACTGTTATTTTAAAATTCATGTTTCATCTTAGATGCCCTGCATCTACACACACAGAAAATACCCAGCTCCAAACCAGAGAAATGTTCCTAGCTTCTGGTGAGTCTAACACAGTTACTATTATAAAATGTATTACTATAAATATTAATAAATATAGAACATACCTGCCAGTCAAATATCCAACAGCAGATGCAGCATAACAGGCCTATTGAAAAATACTGGCGTTAATGATACAATTATTATTATTAACACATTTAATGATATCTTGTACATAACTTTCAACAAAAATACTGAAAGTAAGCAGATACAGATTTTACCCTTATCATCAGAGCTTAAATATAAGCAAACACACCCCTTCACCCTCCCCATCATAAGGTGTGTTCATGAAGGTTCATGTGAAAAATCTCATAACTGCTCTCTATATTTCAGATTCCTGTTTTTCCATCAGGAAATAACTGGGACTAAAAGAAAAAAGAACGACAAAACCCCAAGCCCCACATATAAAACAAAACCTCTAAAACCAGGGAAATGAGTACAGCAAAGTAAGAATCTTCTGCCTTCTGGACTAGCACAGAAGAGGGATTTGCAAGAGAAAAGCAACAAGCAGAAATCCAGCAATTACTGGAATGACTCACTGTACTTCAGAAATTTGGCAAAAGGTTGAAATCACACACTGCAGAGACTAGTTAGAAGTTAGCAATTGTCTTTTACAAGCTGAGCTGCTGAAGTACTTCTCACTCCTAGTACCACACTTAGCTTTAGCTACTTCAACATTTCAAAGAAAAATTGCGCTTTGAATCATTGTCGCAAAAGTTACACCTACAACTTGTGTTATCCTAGCTTATCACCAGTATTATTTCAGAGTATGTTTTTATGCTATTGCTGTAGCACATTTATCTATTAAACACTCGGACATAAATTTCAACTGGTAACAAGACAACATGATCAAGCAGAAAGGAAGCTTACAGGGGACCCACAAACACCAAAGGCTTCACAGCTGTGACACTGTCAACTCCTTCATATTCTCATGCTTTTGTCTTGAATTCAGCAAGTTCTAACACTTAATGGAAAAAACTCATTTTGCAATTTATATTTTCTCTTTAATACATACACTTTCCCCCCCCTCCCCCCCCCCCAAAGTAAGGTCCTGGCCTTATAGCCTGCCTCTATTTAAAAATGCGAGAGTTGAGATTTTGCGTTTCAGTTTTGAGTGCTATTGTGGTGAGAAGAATAAGTAACAAACCCCTAAAAATTTACAAAAATATTTTCCTCAAACCTAAGAATAATTCTAGGTAACACAGCATGCTAGAAATCTCAGCTTAAATGAGTGAAAACACAGGTATTTTACAAGCTTCTGCATGGAAGGAGAAACAGCTTTTAGTATCTTCACGCTCCCACAGATACAGACCAACCGTGTGAGCAAAAGCATAGAGAAGAATGAGAAGAAACCCTCATTTTCTTTGCAGCATTAAGATAAGGAATTTTTGACAAAAAAGGTACATTGACAATAAAAATCTCTTCCTACTTTTCATATGCCTGAAATGAAGAGGAAAAATGCCAGTGATGTTCAAGAACTAGGTAACAATTTGATGACATATCTGTGTGCAAAAAATCAGAAATATTTGGAGTAGGTGTTACTAAAACAATCTTGTTAATGGAGCTCAAAGCATGGTGTTGTGTCTCCATGGCAATCAGGTTTTAGAACTAGGTGGCAAAATAATGCTGTATATAGAATTTGGGTTCACGTACAGTTATTGTCACTAAAACTTTTACTGCTTCATTCTGCAAGGAAGCAACATAACTAAAGTCATCTGTATATACAGGAGACGGTAAATAACTTTGAAGGTATGCTTAAAAGATTATTTTTTCTGCATGTGTGAACAGTATGGACAAAAACCCACTTTACTGATGAACCTTGCACCCTCACCACTAAAATGTGAGTGATGGCACTCTATCTATCTGTTAAGGTCACAAGACAGTTTATCAGCTTACACCAGATCCTGATGTCCATCAGACAGGCAAGAAGGGTGTAGGCATATAAAATGACATTTTCTACCAAAACCACAATCCACATTAGAAAGAAATGTAGGAAGCCTAGATGGAGGCACTAAACTCAGAATCTGCAACCATCCATGAGTGCTGTATTTGAAGCGCAGCCAAAGCAGAGGCCTCTTCCTTCCATATAGGTAGAAGTACGCTAAGGAGGGTTTAATTAGCTTTTTTTCAACTCAAACATAAGCAAACTAATTCAACATAGCAAGTAAACAGCACTTAAGCATCTTTGTACCTACTGGCCCAGTTGAAACAGTACAGCCATGCATAGGAGCAGTTCTGAGGCCCTTATGTTAATTGTGCCTAAGGCTCAATGTTCCACAACTGGCCTAGAGGGCCTGGGATCAACTTAACTACAAGAACCTGCTGTATGAACCTGAGCTCAACACTTGGTATCTTCTGTTACTACACACAACTTCAGTGTGGACCTGGAAAAATCAGGTCACAGATTGAAAGCAGCAATCTCAGAGTAATAAATAATTTGCTAAAGGCCAATTACTAGTCACTGAGAAAGTGTAACTTTGAGATCTGAGATGACACTGGCTTTGCTTTAGGTAAAGTGGCAATGGCTAAGCAAGCGAAAAAGAAAAAAAAACAAACAGAACAAAAAATCCCAACAGATGTGCAGCAGGATAAGACATCCGTCTTGGCCTGGGAAAGCACCATCCAGCACGACACAGTCCATAGTCCAGGCACAGAGGACAAGGGGTAAGATCTGTTCAGAGGCCAAAACAACTTATAAGAAGAGATTTTGAATCTAAGGAGAAAAAAAATGCCTACTTTGGTTTCAGCTGCCCTCACTGAAGGGTTCTTGAGCCTGATCTCCTTGACAGTTAGCACCATCAGCACTAACCACACTGCACCACCTCTAGCATATTGTATACTCACAACTAACTTAGGATATGATTATTTACAGATTGCTTTGAATATGTAGTGATAATTATTATGAAAGATTAAGAACTAAACATCAGCAAAGTGTATTGTTAATGAGCAACAATCATAACAATAAAGATTTTCTCTGAAGTCTAAAACTGACCTGGTTATCAGTCTTCTAAACTATCACAGCAACCTCTAACTACCCAGGGACAGATACGCAACACACACGCCCCATCAAATTGCAATATAACCATTCAGTGTTCAAAGTGCATAGAGGACATGAGTTAAACTGCTTCTAGCAAATCTACAACACATTATAGACCACAGGAGACAAGCTAATGGATACTGGTAGTACTGTTTGGCTTTTAACTTTATGCTTTAACCTAGCCTTTCTATTCAAAGAGTTTATTCTGCAGTCTTACAGGCTTCTGCTACAACTGGCCCAGAAATGAGGCAGAACCTCAGCCCCTCAGATCATATACAGCTGCCATCACAAATAAAGGAAGCAGCTGTATACACATCCTCCACAGCCAGACCACACAACTAATAAACTTAGACAATTAAAACTATGACATGTAAATATTAAGTGTATTTTGAATATACTGTGTATAATCTTCTATCCTCTTCTCTGCCAAGCAATCACTCCGTCTCCACTGAGGATAAAGAACATAACTAAACCCACCCCAAGATATATCCTTGTTCATCCTTTTCCAGTTCACAAAGAAGAGACCTCCTGACCTTCTGATGTTAAAACAAGTCTTCACATTATTGCTATTCTCCTAAGCAGAAGTATCTCACCATTTACACAGTAGGATGTTTCTTGTCTTCTGCACTATAGTAGAAGAGTTTAGTAAAAAGTGGTAAGTAGGACAGCATCTCATTTGGCAGTACAAAGTAATCTTCTGTTAATTACAGACACGAGTAAATTAATTTTAATCATGTTAATAACCAAAGCTAAAACTCAAATCCTTGCTAAATGGCCTATAGGAATAAAAAAACTGTGCTGAATTCCCAGTCCTTCAAAGGAATCAAATACACATTTTAAGCGTGTTTGTATATGTTTGCCTCTCTTATGCGTTAAAGATTTTTCCACGTAAAGACAAGCACTCCTTTACAAATTCTCGTATTCCAATATAAGGATGTAAGGATTAGACAGCAAAAACATACAGCTTGTAACCACCTGATTTAGAAGAACTACTATTATAATACTTTGTTGTGCCTGGGATGAAAAATGAAGGCTATGAACCACATAGGTGGAAAACAAAAAGAGAATACTGCTGCAAAATACAGGCATCTGAATACTGTGCAGGTCCAGAATATTAGGAGTTCCTTGTAAAAACAGTAAAATTCTAATTAAGGATGTTCACAGAGAGACAGAACCCATAAACAAGTTAAAACACAAGAAAAATCTCCTGGTAAGATAATAATAATGCAATTTATTTATCTGTAGGCATCAGAGCAAGGAAAGCTGATGGCCCATTTGCTAGCAGCCCAAGAGCTAGCAGACAGTTAATCAGCTTGTGTAGCAGTCCTTGAAAGTGAGGTATAAACCTGAGGTTCTTAATATGCTCCCTCAGACCACGTAAGAAACTACTGAATGCTTACTGGGTAAAAAAACAAATCCAGAAGTCCTGGTATAACATCAAAATGCTAATGGGCTTGTCAAAGGTCGGATACCTAGACAACAAAGGTAATATACATATAGAGAGAGTCTAAGTATATGATCATGCTTGATTCTGAGCATTCAGAAACATTACAACTTTCTATGTTTTGCTGTTTGGTGAGCTTTTAAAGCTCGGTTTAAAAAAAAAAAAAAAAAAGAGAAAGAGAGATCATACCAAAAAGGGCAAAGATCACACCAATCCTCTCCCTTATTCCAGAATGACAGTACCTGCTTCTTTACAGGTTGTTTTAAAGCAGCATTTTAAAGACCACATTCTTGATGTAAGAAAACGTAAACTGGATTTCATTCCATTGTAAAATAGTTAAAGGTTGGGTCCTACTACAGTTACATACTTACAGCTTGTTCGTTTCTCATTCCTACATATTTTAGTCCAACCGCTTGGGCTGCAATTGCAATTTCAGTGACTGGAATACCAACAATGCCAAACATGTATTCAATATTCTGAAAAGAAAAATGTTAAAAGAAATCAGAACTGTTTCCAAAAGACAGCTTTAATAGGCACACACCAAACACAATCATACTAAGTACACAAGCAGTCTAAAAGTAAATTATAACAGATATACATTCCCACAGATGTTCACAGGCCACTGTGGGAACACATGATTCTATGATACATACAATGCCAGCTGATGTTTGCAGCTCAGTCCTGTGCAGTTGTGAAAGCACTAGGTTTTGGTGGCCTACAAGCAGTGGAACAACTGTCCAGCCCAGCTCCCCAGTTAATACATACGTTGTGCTTTTTCACTGACCACTTCTTACTTGGGAATCTCTGCTACACCGTTTTCCTCCTTCCTTCATATCCTCTGGGAATTCCTTGCTGTGTTTCATGTTATGCTTTCACAGAAAATTAACACCAAAAAGGCCCCAGGAAACAACTGCAGCACCGTGCACAAAGCTTTCCGATACAGACTATGCTTATTTTCGTTACAAGTGAACTACCTTTTCATGTGTGACAGGCCAAACAAAAAGTCCTTTGTCGAAACCACTGGCAGTTCAGCACCATCCCACGTTTAGAGACAAAAGGGAATTTTGGTAACTGTAAAGGTGGAGCAGCAGGCACATAAAGCTGCCACACGTACAGCCGCACAGTGCGGTCACCTTTGCTTGATGGGCACAGGGATCTTGAGCTCGGGAGGGGACAAGCTCCTGAGAAGCCAAAGCTAAGCGACAGGCTGGAGAGAGCCGCACGAGGTCACCGCCTCACGGCTGCTCAGGGACACGGCGGGAAGGGGCAGGCCGCTCCCAGGCGGGGCTCGCACACCGGGCTCTGCGGCGGGACCTCCCTCCTCCCGCACAGCGGCAGGGCAAACTCTTCCCACCCGTCCCGGGACAACAGCAGCGGCGCTCAGGGTGAGTCCGGCCGCGCACATTCACTTCCCTCCAGCCCCGCTGTGCCGGCGGGAGCTGTCCCTGCCTTCTTGCCATATAAATCCTGCTTGCCGGTCTCCCCTGCCCTCTTACTTGAGCCTTGAGGGACTCGGCGATGAGCTGAGCACCGCTAACGGCTTCATCCTGCGCCCGGCTCACGGAAGCCATACCAGCTGCTCGCAACCCCAGGACCCACTGGGAAGAACGCCGGGACCCCCGGCCGAAGGTCGGGTGCCATAGACTGGCACCCTGCTCAGCCAATGAGACAGCAGATAGGGCGGGCCTGACCAATGAGACAGCGGAAGGGGCGGGGCCGAGGGTACGCGAGTATCCACCTCTGTCCTCGGGGGCCAGGGCGAAGGCTGCGGGAGCTTTCTATTGCCTAGAGCGGGCACCCAATCAGAGGCCGCGAGCTGCCCGCCACCCTCACGCAGGCTTGGGCACCTGGGGGTGCCTGGCGCCGAGCAGCCGCCAGGGGGCGGGGGCGGCTCGGCTCGGCTCGGCGGAGCAGCGTGAGGCTGGTGACGCGGCGGCGAATGGGGGTGGGCGTTTAGCCGGTGGTGCTGAGGGGCTGGAGTGGGGAGTCCTGGGGACTGGGCGGTCAGCCGCAGAGCGGGGGGACGGGAACGGGTGGTCGGGTTCGCTGCCCGCCCCAGCCTCACCCGCGGTTGGCTCGACCTCGAGGCCTGTGGGAGCAGCAGGGCCAAGCGCGTTTATAAGTAGGGCAGCGGCCTCTGCAGCGTGACCCTGAAGCTTTCTGGAGCTGGTTGGAGATTGCTGACACAAAGCGGGGCAAGGTACAGGCTGTTTCAGATGAAGATACCCGCTGCCAGCATTTTTGAGGAGAAGCGGGAGCATAGTGTGAGGCACTTCTCTGAAGGCATAGAATCACAGAATGATTTGGGTTGGAAGGGACCTTAAAGATCATCTAGTTGCAAGCCCTCTGCCATGGGCAGGAACACCTTCCACTAGACCTCATATGCTGTCTGAAGGACGGCTCATATCTGGGCCATGTCAAGTGCAGGTGTTCGAGAAGTGAGAGTTCAGAATGTTCTGCCTCACCTGCTGACAGGTTGTGCTACCATCTGGAGTTTCTCAGGCTGAACCACTAATAATGGCAGCATTCAGTTATCCTCGCTCATTAAGTTTGTTAACGTAGATATTTTGAGACAAGGTGTACGTCAGGAATCCTGTGAAATATAGAAAACTTACTGTAAAACGTATTAGAGTGGGCAGCATTCTTTAAAAATAGATTGCACTCTGGATAAAAGCCAGGAAATTAGAGCACAGTTATATAATGCATTGTACACAGAAGACACATTTTTCAGAAAAGGAAATACAAGGTACCTGTTTGTATTGAGCTGTGATTCCATTGCAAAAAAAATCCCCCCAAACCTCATAAAAAGACTATATACAAAAATACATTTATGCAGGGGACACTGATTAATTGGTTTCAATATACCAGAATGACAGCAACATCATGGATATTACTAAAAAAAAAATACAAATTTCCATACCCATTTTTAAACTATTTTTTTATTAATAATTGTTAATATTAGTATAGCTTAACATTTTTATTCACTTAAGAGGACCCAGACTAATGTGCTACTTCTGTTTTTCAGTCTGTTGGATTCTTGCAAGTACAAAGGTGCTCAGAAGCGGGGTATGTAGTTTTGCACTGTGTATATGTCTGTGTATGGTGAGAGTTGACAAACTTGTAAGTTTCCAAAGTTGTTCAAAAGTGAATGTTTGAATGCTTTGCTTCACAATGTACTGTGATTGGTTGATTCTGGAAAACTGAATAGGAAGACAGTCTGCACCGGGACTGGGGGAAATTGCCTGGGTTGACTTCCAAACTTAAACACCAGTCTTTCTACCTTTTGTATAGAACTGTAACTAGAATACCGTGACTGCCTTACAGTAATACTGCGTTGAAGTACTCATATTTGAATGAAATCATTCTACTGAAACATGTCTGCCAGGCAAAAGACCACATAGGTCACAAGAAAGGGACAGAAAAATACGAAATTGTAAAGCATTTCAGTTCATGCAAATTTCTTTTAAAGTCATGGCTCAGGTGAGGTGATAACTCTGTAGACCCTAAGCAAATAAACTTCTCTTCAAAGAAAGGATTTATTAGTGTAGCATTTTGCAGTACAGAAACCAGCAAAACCCACCAGACTGTGGCTGAGACTTACTTGGAGCCTCAACAGCCTGTAAGGGCTGAGGAAACCCTGGTGGTATCCTGCTTTTGGCTGGAAAGGTTACTGTCTCCAAGCTCAGACTGGGCTTGTCGCAGCTCTCCTTGTTAGAAGCAGCCCATTAGATAGAGGGGTTCTGTTATTTAAGCTGTCAGCTAAGGGAAGGGCAATCAGAAGTGCTCATGTAAGTGCTCAGACATCATCAGTAGTACTAGCAGTAGTCACTACCAAGGGTAAGGACCCAGACGAATTATTTTAGTTGGCTCAGATTCAGGCAGATGGGACTGTGTAGTTGGATGTTCAGTGCCAAACCTCCTGTGCATCTAAACAAGGAAGGGGTTCAGGGTAGTATTTCGAGTGTTTCAGACCACTAGAAATAAGACATGGTGAGGGAGAAAAGAAAAAGAGAATTCTTTAAGCACATCTGTAAGACAGATTTTGTAGAAGCCCATTAACTGCTAATTCTTTATGTTGGTGTTTTCAGTTTAAAAGGCCAAAAGGCTAATTTTGTAACCTGTAGCAGTCCCATCCTGTGATCTGAAACTCACCAACTTTTTCCATCACTAGTAGTGATGAATTCTAATTACATCTTAGTTGACAACTTAATTGAGGAACAGCTGACTAGAACCCATTCCTGTCCTAAATAGGTGTTTTGGCTCTAAAGGGTGACAGAAATAGAAAGGAGTTTTGTCAGTGGAGTGCAACACTGTTTATTTTAAGTGGCTTCCTTAACTGTGAGAGGCTTTCTACCTCTCCTCTCACTCCCGGTGCTACTGCTTTGTATCTTAACATGTACTTTGGTATTTCATTTGCAGAGCTAAGCTACACAGGACAAAGTAGGATCCTCTATTCCTGGTATCACACCCCCTTCCCCATAAGTACCAAGTGTTTTACTCAAGATGCAGAAGAGCAAGGGTAGCTTATAGTACATCACTTTTCAAAATTGTTTATATAAATTGAGTAACTTTAATTCATGTTGACAGAGATGCCAAGGCTTTATTCTGTTTGTGTTGTGCTTCAGGTAACTTTAAATTTACCCTTGAAGGTATGTATATATTGACACTTTGCTGAAAATGCTTTTAAAAAGGACACAGTTATTTAAAGCACCAACACAGGTTTAAGGTTTAGAAACAATACACCTGTGGTCAGTTAGGAATTTAAAAACAACACACTCAGTTCAAATGCTGCTGAGGGTCTCAGTTACAGTCCATATTTAATAGTAAACTTTAATTCCTGGCATGATCTGTTGATTAAGCTCTCTTTACCCCACCTGTTTGGGTTTCTTTTCGCTCTAGATTTCTGGCATGCACCATGGTGGATCTGTGCTGGAAGCTGTTCATCTGCTTCTTTTGCTGTCAAGTTGTCTCAGGAAGAGTTAAGAGGGAGGGGCATTATATTGCTGCTGTGTATGAACACGAGTCCATACTGAGTCCTAACCCAACAGCCCTGGTTGATCGACAGTCTGCACTGGAGCTCATGGGCAGGAACCTAGACATCTATGAACAGCAGGCAGTGGCTGCTGCAAGACAGGTATGCCACAGCTTAGTAGCAATTGCATGTGTCCTGTGTTTATGTAGAGTAAGTGCTGTTTGAGGATAATCTTTCACATTTGTGTTCCCAGGCAACTAAAGCCATATTTATATACATAACTATGGTCTGGGTTTTCAGACATTCTGACCTGCCAGCAGCTCTGAAAAAAAATCAGGCCAATTAGCAGCTTGCCTGGCTTGAGTTATTCTAAGCTTGGAAAAACACGCCTATAGTTATTTAGTATAGGGAAATTAATTTTCTATTTTGGTCTGAATACCCAGCTACTTTCTGTTTTCCTAAATGGAATGTTTTTATTGAAAGATTGTCTTACAGGCAGCTGTCTTTGGGTTTGATTTTATTCCAGTGCTCTCAATGGAAATTCTGAATGTTTCTAAAAACTAAAGAAGTTAAATGCTTTGGAACTTAATGTTCCACCATTAACAACTTTGTGGAAGTAAAGTTTTCCATTCCTTTCTCCTGCCCTCCATGGAATGGTTCTCAGTCTAAATATATTTAGAGGAGAGAGATTAGTATTTCTGGTTGTTCTTATATACAGCTTCCTTTCCTTCCCTCCCCAAGAAAATCCAAAGCTGGTTCTAGTCAAAGGAAGCAGAGAAGAACTGACTTGCAAGTTTCACGCAAGTGTTGTTCTGAAACAGAAGAATTACCATTTTTATACAATTTGAAAACATTAATTTTCCCATTATATGTATATATATATATATTTTTTTTTTGATGTTCAGGTGACTGGGCATCACAGTCCAGAAGCATTGTAGTTATGCAGTATGGCATCCAGGACACATAAATTATCCCAAAGCCAAAGCACATTTGATCTGATTTTTGAAAAGTCACAGGAAAGTCAGTGTCTGATGCTGTGTCTGATTTAAGAGGAATTCACCCCATTTTTAGGAACAGTTCAGATCTCCCTGAACTTCAGGTAGAGCCAGCCTAGCTCTGGTATGGCTACATTTCTACCAGAATCATAGAATCATAAAATGGTTTGGGATGGAAGAGACCTTAAGGGGCATCTCATTCCAACCTGCCTGCTATGGGCTGGGACATCTTCCACTAGTCAGGCTGCTCAAAGCTCCATCCAACCACAGTCAAGCTGTTTCTGGAATCAGTAATCCCAGTACTCTATCCAACCCTATATACCTAATCAAAGTGTATAGACTGGATTAAATGATGCTGCTTTCACCTTTGACATGGGTACAGCACCTTTGATGAAGTTCATGTGCTAACAGTGTAATTTTGAAAAGAAAATTAGGGCAAACTGAAAAGAAAATGAAGGCAAATTTTAACAGCATTATTTTTTAGCATTAGTTTTTAACCTGAATGATGTAATTTTCGTGATTCATATCAATGGAGAATACTTTTGGTAAGACTTTTGATGAAGTCTGCTCTTATTTGCGTGCCTTTAATGTCCAATAAGTTATTTTTCAAGGTAAGAGGTATATGTCAGGTTAAAAAA